CGCCCATTCAATCGGGTCGCGCGACGAAGGGCGAAGAGGCGTTGCCTGACTCTCGATTGGATCTCTCGGAGCGACTGTCTCCGCCCCCGTGACGTCACGAGTGCCAAGTTCCCAGCAACTGACGGTATATATATACATAGATAGATAGATATATATATATGTGTGTGTATACTATATACAGGGTGGAAATTCAGTATGACTGCACGGTTTCGGGTGTCGATGGAACTCGTTTGCAAGGAAAGGGTTGGATCTTCTAAGGGACGATTTTTGAAGATTTTCTGGTCGATAGCTGTGTTAGTGCGCACCAGGTTTAGAAACGTTGTTAATGTGAGTTGTCCAACCCCTTGCTCCGCGACGAAAATGTTCAATTTTCATTGTCGCGAACAACGATCGTTAGTTGCTACCTTTCTTTGATTCATCGTTGATTTATCGATAGATTCATTCGTTCGGTCTCGTTTCGGTTCTGTTGATTTTACAAAAGTATATCTTCTAAAATATTTTCCAAAATATCTCTGAGCAATAATCGAATCGTAAGGCACCGAGGGGTTAATATAAACTAGACGTTACTTTCCTGCGATAAATCGGTTAACCCGCAGATCGTCGGTGGAAATCTTAAACCCGAATAATTCCATTCGTTTCCGTGGATCGTTAGGGATGAAATTTAGCGAATCAGGGGTCACGGGGCAAGGGGTGAACCGCGGCGACGCGCGATCCGCCGGTTCACGCGACAATCCACAGGAACCCTTTCGATCTGCAAACGGCGGACCGCTCGCTGCCGCGTCTAGTTACTTCGCATCTCTTGTTATAGGATTATAAACGAAACAAATTAGAATAATTATCGTACATTCTAAATCTCGTTATAGGGGACTTCGACGGTCGAGGACGGTTCACGGGGGGTCATGTGACTCGGCGGGGACGGACAAAAGTTTCTCGAAAGGACGCGCTCGGGACCGTTTCCTCTAGCCGGGCAAACCCCGAGAGCGTTTCGCCTCAGGGTGTGCGAACAATCGAATTTCTAACGCTAAGAGATACCTCGCGGCCGACGCTGAGAAACGGTCGATCGCGTTCGATCGGTATTTACCCGATTGTTCGAGTTGCTCGCTTCGATTCGACAGTTTCATTGATTTCCAAGGGTTTCTCTGTTCGTTTCGGGTCCCTTTCGTTCGAACGTTGTCCAACGAAGAAGCCGAGGAATCAAAGTATCGGTCGATGAAAGTCGAAATGCACAATGACGATACTCCGAACACACCAAAACGGAACGACAATCTTCATCGAGGCTCGCGGCCTCGGGAAATGATTATTTTGTAAAAATTTAAATAGCGGATTCTACTGTTTCCTCGAGTGAGTTCTATCGTGCTCCGCGGTCTGTGCTATACTCTGTTTACACCCCACGCTGTACGTGTACGTCGCCGGCGGAAGACGACGCGCGGATCGACGGAGAACCACTGTCGCGTCCGCGGCTGTTCTGCGCGCCGACACGACTCGCGTGTTTTCTCAACGGAAAACAGGCTGAAGCGATTTTTCTCGAATGAATTCCACGAGAATATTTGAATATTCCGCTTCTGCCTTCGAATCAGGGGTATACATTCGAACGATTACTTTCGAGGAACTCTTATTAACCTTTCGCGGACGAAGATTCTCTGAAATATACAAAATCAACAGATGAAGCTAAATTATATATAAATTACTTGAACAACCGAATAGGGAACTACGTGCCGAACTCTTGATGTTTCAGTAACCGAATCATTTATTTACTATTCGGTGCTTCAAATATGAAAATTCGATCTCGCTGAAATGTCGACGTCCGTCCGCGAACGGTTAATCATCGACGAACGGATTCTTATCGCTCTCGTTGAGTTGTCGTAAAATTCTCTTTACTGTTATCGGAAATCACCGGAAAATCTGGGCACACGAGAGAACGAGTTCCGTGTTGCAGCCGCGGAAACGACCGAACGCGGGACAGGGCCTCCACAACGGGCCTACTTAGGCTCTTAATCAGCTGGAACCGCGTCGAGATCAACGGACAGCCGTCGAGGCCGGTTGGAAATTTCGAATTCCAGCGGCCTCGAGCGTTTAGTCGATCTCTTCGCGGCCATAGCGCGCCAATGAATCGAATCAGACCCTGGAACGCCGATTCGGAAGCGCTCGGCGCTGCGTACCCCTTCCGTCGACGATAAACTGCGGCGATCGTTGCTCGAGACTGTGCGAAACGTCGGCGACATTGCTGAAATCGTTGACACCAGTGGAAAATCGGATAAACCGAGGA